CACAGCTACATGATTTGGTATAAAAGTAGCACTCAGTGCCTCAAAATGAAGCAAAGTTTGGCTACTTGGATGCAGTATTTCTGCTTTGGAGAAGTTCATTTGGAAGAATTTAGAGGTCAGGTGAGAGGGGTAGGGAGAACACAGCTCTTCCTATAAGAAGACTCCACACGAGGGGGTTAGTTTACAGAGGAGGAGAATCAAAGTAATTTTTCGAACATTCTTACTGCCAAAGTCAATAATGTGATTTGTAATGGCATAACTTGCCTGAACCATGGACATTATCATTTAAGATACATGATATAAAATTCTGGAGAATCTTAACTTCTTGAATAATACATCAGAAAACCTTTTCTACATCCTCTTTCTTATCTGCTGTTAACCCAAGTGGTTTTAGTTTGGGTTCCCATTTTTTGTCTTTGTGTGTATGTGTGTGTGATGGAGTCTTGCTCTTTCACCCAGGCTGGAGTGCAGTGGCATGATCTCGGCTCACTGCTACCTCTGCCTCCTGAGTTCAAGCAAGTCTTCTGCCTCAGCCTCCCGAGTACCTGGGACTAAGGCGTGCGCCACCATGCCTGGCTAACTTTTGCATTTTTCGGTGGAGATGGGGTTTCACCATGTTTTCCAGGCTGGTCTCGAACACCTGACCTTAGGTGATCCACCCACTTTGGCTTCCCAGAATGCTGGGATTATAGGCGTGAGCCATCGCACCCGGCCCCCTTTTGTATTTTAAATAGTTTATCATTAAGTATTTTTCCTAGAAAACCCAAATGATCACAAAATGTAGATGGATGAGCATATCACTACTACAATGCCTGTCTCAGTTAGCAGATGCATACATTCCTATCAGAACACAGGTCCAAAAATTAGAGGCAGAGTTTGTTAAAACCAAACTGGGAGAATGTATTTATCTGTACTATCTAAATAATAGCTTCTCAATGATTATAAATATATCTGCAAAAACCACGTACAGTGGTTTTTTTCTGTAAAAACAATAAATAAATAAAGCCAACTATCCACATTGATTCACTTAAATTTTATTATTCATGAATTCAACAAATATGTAATGAAGGATAATGCATCAAGCTGCATCTCCCAGGATGCTATTTCTATTAGTAATAGAAACAGTCTGTTTTTTCAACCTTACCTAAAAATCATGTGAAACTCTTTTTATTTATTAAAAGACAACCCTTGTGGATGACATTTTCTTAAAAATCATTCAATGTATGGAAAGACTTATGCTTTAAAACTCCTACAGGTTTTAAAGAGGTTACCCAAAAAAAAAAAAAAATAGGCTGTTTCAATAGGTTACAAAACAAAGAAAGATTTGTGGTGTGCCCAGCTCCTGTTCATGAACATAGAATGTGAAACGATCACAAACAATTCCACCAAAAATCTATTCTTTGGATGCTGTACAGGTAACATTTTCAACACCTCTGAGATATTTCCTAAGAAAGTACCATCCTCTACACTTCTCACTGGCGAGCTGTATCACTCACTGACTTTGACTAGGGCAGTTTGTGCAGCCAGAACTGCCTCTCTACTGTTCCAATAGCCCTTTCTAGATATTATATCTGTAATTATTGCACCAAAATATGTCCTCTATTTCAGAGTAACTGTGAATTGGGAAGTTACTAGTGCAGAGAAGAGAAAATGTCAGCTGAAGGAACAATGACACAGTCATCACTGAACTTTGGATAGAAAATTGTTTAGACGACAAAGCTGCTGTTAATGAAGAAAACATTTGTTCTTAGGCAACCTGAAAAGAGGAGAAAAAAATCTTTCAGTATCCTGGCAATAAATCACAGGAGCACAGCTGCACTGCATAAACAGACTGGGATCAATGTTTCTCAGCAAATAATGTGCATGAAAATCAAACTTGCTTTTAAATAAAATAGAAAATACCTGAAAGTTAGTTGGCACCAGAAATAAAATTAATTAAACTTTTTACTTTCAATGTTCTTTTGAAAAGAAAGAGAAAAGGTAAATGGCTCCAAATCCCTTCCAAAAATCTGTTACCACTCAATCCATCAGATAAACATATAAATAAAATGTTTATCTTTGAGAGTTACTTTAGAAGTGTGAAGATATTGAAGAAACTTGGGCTGTAGAGTGAAGCCATCTAGGTTCACTTTTCCCATTGTATGATTTACCAGCTTTGTGACATTAAACACATCACTTTTTTTCTCTGAGCCTTAACTTCTAGCCCACTTAATGCATAGAAATCCTGTGCCAACCAAATGAAATAATGTGCCTGGACACATTTGGTAGTCTATAAAGTATAGACTACCAAGAGTTATGCTAAGTCACCAGGATCAGGGACTTTGTTTTGTTCATACTTCTATTTCCAATGCCCGGAACAATGCTCGGAAGACAGTAGGTGCCCAATAAATGCATGCTGAACAAATGATTTTTTTTTTTTTTTTGCTTCTTCGTATATGGAACTCATGGAAGCCAGAATCCTGTTTAACATATTGCAATGTCTCAACTGTCTCAGGCTTTTGTTTTCTTCAACAAATGCCATATTTCTAATGTTTTTACTTTAAGAAGAGGATCTTGCTTAGTCTATCTTTATGTACAAAATCTAAAACAAACAGATTCACCCTATGCAATAAAAAAAGAAAAAAACCCAACACCTAAAATCTTAGCCATCATCCATCCACTTGGAATGTCAATTCAATATGTGTTCCTTTAGGATTTGTATTCATTGCAGTGACGTCTGGATTAACACCATGAAGCAGAATGTGGGACCAGAGCAATGTGTCTGAGTATCTAATGCATTTTCAGTTTGTCTGGTGGAATGGAAGTTTGGCAGTGAACACTTTTGTCAAAGCCAAACCACTGTATGAGTTTAAGTAGAGGAAATCGACAGTCCAAAGCTGAGTGTGCCTAGCATGCAATCTGTTCCTTATTGATGGACCCACAAGTGCTACCACTAACCACCTAAAACACATTCTCAGGTTGGCCATAAAATGCAAATTACAGGAATCATGAGATTCAAACCATCATGAACATAGGGCTTTCTTTCATTCAGAAAAAGTCAATGCTTCTTTAGTAGGAAAATTTCCTGGTGAGCAGATTCACAATATCTTCTACTTAGCATGTGCCAAGGCGAATGTATTCTAACAACTATATCAACTCATTCTCCAGATATGGTTGACTATGAAAAACAAGCCCATTGAGTCTCAAGTGCTTAGGAGGAGAAAATAAAAACAGCTATAACACTGAATTCAGTACTCCTGGGTACACAAGCCACAATAAGTTCAGTTCTTAGTTTGTCCCCAAGAAAAATACATATGACGATATTCCTTTTATTGGCTGGATGTCTTTAAATTCAGCTCAGTGTGCCTGTCTGTAATTCCAATCTATCAGCTAAGCAACCATAATCAAGCCAACACTATGATTCAGATGTCATGAATAAGGAAACCTAAGAAAATGTGAATTTCCACTGCAAGAAAGAATATGCAATGAAACCAAAATTGCTAAAAACATTAATAATGTTCATCACACAAATGTTGCAACAGCTCTTACCTCGTTCGCAAAGTGCACCAATGTAACTTGGAAGGCAGAGGCACCTGAATGTGTTAAAACCATCGACACATGTGGCTCCATTCCGACAGGGATTAGAGTGACATTCATCAAAATCTGAAACAAAATAGTAAAAGCTCACAAAATACTTCCAAAAAGGATCAAATAATTCCATTTAGTGTGAGGTTGCAAGATAACATACAAGATGGCCAGTTAAATTTGAATTTCATATTTTAAAAATGTATAATTTTTTAGCATAAATATATCCATGCTATATTTAGGGCAAACCTATACTACAAAGTTATTCTGTTTTTATTTGAAACTCAAATATAAGTGGCCATTCTGAATTTTTATTTGCTAAATTTGGCAACCCTAAGAAAATGTCAAAGGTATTCAGTGTTGGGCCATCATCTCCATTGCTAATATATGAATCAGGTCAAATGAATGAAGAATCTATACCCCCAGTCTTTTCACCTACAATCATGGCTCATTCTCTGATGACCTCACATATCGAATACTCAAAGTATCTAACTGGCCTCACCATCATTGGGCCCTTGCCTCTTCAATATATCCATCACTCTGCTAAATGTCATCTTCTTTAGACACAGTCACGATAATTTTATTCTTTTTTTTTTTTTTTTTTTTTTTTGCGATGGAATTTCACTCTTATTGCCCGGGCTGGAGTGCAATGGCACGATCTCAGTTCACTGCGACCTCTAGCACCCGGGTTCAAGGGATTCTCCTGCCTCAGCCTCTTTAGTAGCTGGGACTACAGGCCCATGACACCATACTCTGCTAATTTTTTGTATTTTTAGTAGAGACGGGGTTTCACTATGTTGGCCAGGCTGGTCTCAAACTCCTGACCTCAGGTGACCAACCCGCCTTTGCGATAATTTTATTCTTTTACTTCCAAACATTCCATGGATCCCAACTGCCCAGGGCAGCAGTCTTCAAAGCGAGGTCCCTGGACCACACCATCAACATCACCTAAGAATGTTTAAAATCCACATTTCCAGATTCACCCCAAATCTGCTGAATCGCATACTTTGTGGTAGAGACAGCAATCTGTTTAGCCAGCCCTCTGATGCATGCCCAAGTCTCAGAATCACTTGACTAGAGTGTGAAGTAACACTACACAGTATCTTGAACTGTGGACCTTCTTAGACCGTCAGGGCTTTCTAAACCCAACCTGCTTTCTGGTATTCTCTCCCCAGTACATCTCTCTCTCCCAAACTCCTAGATAGGCATACCTGGATCTGTGCTGTCACTCAAACGCCTCTGTACCTTTTGGCCTCTGTACTTCTGTTTGTTGTGTCCATATCTCCCTCCACCACCTGTCAAATCTTCCTCAACTTTAAAATCCATGTCAAATAAAATCTTTCTACACAGATTCTAATCTTTCTACATACGCTTTTTCCTGATGAAATTAATGACTTTATTTCCATAGCATTTTGCAATTACACTAAAAATTTAATGTTTAAGAATATTTTTTACAGGCTGCAGGAGAAGATGGCGGTCTCCACAGGGGTTAAAGTTCCCCGTAATTTTCGCTTGTTGGAAGAACTTGAAGAAGGACAAAAAGGAGTAGGCGATGGTACGGTTAGCTGGGGCCTTGAAGATGATGAAGATATGACACTTAAGGTGGACAGGCATGATTATTGGGCCACCACGGACAAATTATGAAAACAGAATATATAGCCTGAAAGTAGAATGTGGACCTAAATACCCCGAAGCTCCTCCGTCAGTTAGATTTGTAACAAAAATTAATATGAATGGAGTAAATAATTCCAGTGGATGCCCGGAGCATACCAGTGTTAGCAAAATGGCAAAATTCATATAGCATTAAAGTTGTACTTCAAGAGCTAAGACGTCTAATGATGTCCAAAGAAAATATGAAGCTTCCACAGCCACCAGAAGGACAAACGTACAACAATTAATTTTAGTGGATCTCAAACTTGTCTTAAATCAACAACCTTCTACTCATGTTAATGTCTTGATTAAATATCACAATGCAAAATACCCACACATTAAGTAAAAGAATTCCAGCTGGTAAACATGACCTGGACATTTGTAAGAATATATTTAATATATGTACACCCATTATGTTTTCAGGTAACAGGAGGAAAAATGCAGCACAATTTTTTTTCTCTTGTTAAGGCACTGTCATTTAAACATAAACCTGGAGCGCTCGAAATAGAATTCAGGTTTACAAGATGAAAGCGTGTGGAGAAGTGTCAGATGGCAGTGGAAACATGTGTGTTTCTAAAAAGTAAAAATCTCAAGAAAGAAAACAGGAATGGCATGCTTTATCCATCTTGCTTAGTGAAAGAGCTGCAGTTGAAATTGTTTAAAACGTAGCAGGTACAATGAATATTGTCACAAATGTGTTAATTTTTGAAGTGGTATGGGTGCTGACTACTAGTAGTATCAAAAATATGTTCAGGATTGTTTTGATACCTGTATTTATAATAAAAAATGTGGGGGGAGTTGATGAACTTCTGTTAAAAGCTGTTCTTGTGTGTTACATGTAACAGACATGGTAAATATTTGTTTACAGTCTTTGTTTAACCATGCATTTAAGTTTAAGTGAATTCAACAAAAAGGAAATAGGTATATGGATATGTGATTTTGAGATTAAAGTTAGTCTTAAAATATAAATAAATTGTGGAACGTGTCCTCAGAGACTGTGCCATTTCTATTATGTCGATGTAGTATATGTACAGTACTAAGGAAGCAAAAATTGGAATTATTGTAGCTTTTCTTTTATACACACCCTTTATTATTTATCCTATTTTGTGTACTTCTTTTGAATTAGAATTTGCAGACTATTTCAGAAAAGAAATTACCTAGTTTGATTTCTTCTTTGGACAAGGAGGAATCCTGGGTATAATATTTTGAACTTGATTTCACCAGAATTAATATTATTCAAAAGATCTTTGCATTCTGGCAATTCTTTTAGAATTATAGGTTGCAAATTATCTAAATATACACCTCATTTTTTTAAAATCATAACACTATTTTTGTTATTTCTCTGTGAAACTTTTGGCTATTAAATAGGGTGAACTAATTGGAAACATTTTCTCTTCCAATTAGTGCTTTTAACACTAATAAGGATAACTTCATTCATTCCATGTACTCTCCACTCTAATAAATATGTAACTGAAGTTGAAAACTCAAAAAAAAAAAAAGAATATTTTTTAAATGAATATACAAAGTAAGTTAAATTTCTAAGCCATATAATGTATTCTTTTCTTACCTAAAGAAATAGTCTTATTAACGGTGATATTCTATAGTAATAATACCAAACATGTTTATGGTGCTTGCTGAGTGCCAGACACTTTGTCGCCCAGCCTGGAGTGCAATGGCGTGAACATGACTCGCTGCAGCCTCAACCTTCTGGCCTTAAGCAATCCTTCCACCTCAGCCTCCCAAGTAGCTGCGATTACAGGCATTGTTAATTTTTGTATTTTTTTTTTTTTTTTTTGGTAGAGGTAGGGTTCTGCCATTTCACCCAGGCTTGTCTCAAACTTCTGGGATCAAGCGATTTGCCCACCTTGCCCTCTCTAAGTGCTGGGATTATAGGCTTGAGCCACCTCGCCCGGCCTCACAGACTTTTTTTCTTTTTAAAGTACTCTTTTAATATGAATGTTGAGATTGTAACCCAATATTAACGTGTAATTTAAAGTGAGCTTTCTTTACTCAATCATTGTAAGCAAATTAAGCAAACCTTCGGGATACCTCTAAAAGGAACATCTGGACAGCATAGTCCCTCATTCTTTTCTTAGAAGTGAGGTCTATACTTAGCCAAATCAACACTCATGCCTTTTTTTTTTTCTTTAAAGAGAAGGATGTCTAAATGAGAATATGGGAGTGCAAGAGTCAATTATATTACTTGGAACCAAAAGAGAGGAGGGAAACAGCAATTGCACAGCTCCCTGAGGCAGAGACAGGTTGGGCTGGTTACTGGGAGTCAAGGAAGGGTCTTTCCCATTCCAAATGAGAAGAAAAAGTTATCCCCAAAGTAAGAACTAAATTCTCTAACTTTTACTATTTTCCTAAATTTTAAACCTAGTTTTCTAAAAAGATTTTTATACTGAAATTGATTTTTATCTATATGCAGATTTTGGGGATAGATGTACATTTTTGTTAACATTTATGCAACTTTACATTTGTAAATTCCACCTGGAAAAACCACAAAAAGACTCAGCAGTCCTCACTGAGTCTTGGGTATATTAACAGAATTCACTAAACATCCATACCCATTTTCCAGCCCCCAGTTAATGACCCTCATATTTTAACTTCATTTACCATATAATTAATCTACACATGGGTTTCTCTGAAATCTCTGATTGATTCGACAACACAAATTTTCTCCCAACATATATTGTGTGAAAAAACTGTACCCTCTCAGCCAAGTACATCTTACCAAGTTCACACTGGTCTCCACTGTATCCTGGCACACAGGTGCATACATAGGAAGTTTCAGTAGGATAACAGGTGCCTCCATTAAGGCATGGGTTCATTTTGCAATGATCAGGTCCTACCATATTCGGGAAAATAAGAAAAGCAATTAGGCTCATCTCTAATGTTTCAGTGTATTTTAGCATAAAATGCTCCACATTGCTACCACATTACAGGCTTTACCATAGTACTTTAGTTACTACACATACAAATTAACATTAACTTTACTCTCTGGAGTGTTTCTATAACTAATTGTTACAAATTGAATCTATTCATTTCTGGGACTCAATCATGATTATTTTTAAATGATATATTTTGTATTGTATCTGGCAACTAATACATTCTACTGCAGATTTAGTTGGCATGATAATGGCAATTGATTTTAGTCAAAAATGATTACACATATGTGCACAGTGAATGGAAAATGTATTCTTTTAAATGGGGTTAGTTCATGTGAAATGGCTGGATACACAGAACATGCATTCTTTTTAGCAGGTTGGCTTGTTATCATCATTTGAATTATTATTGCCTTTTACCACTTAATGCTCAGAAACTGTTTTTCTTCGAAAGTGTGCACTGAAGTCTCTTCTGCTACATAAACATGCTTTTTCCAAAAACACGTTCCAAATGTACTCCTTTAAACTATACTTGAAGAAAAGCAACACATGGATTAAACTCTACTGTATAAAAACAAAACCATATACAAAACCTCACCTAAAATGAAATCCCAAGTTTTTATTACAATTTTCTTATTAAAATACAAACAAAATTGACACTCCTGGGAGATAAATATAAAGGCCAAAGACATAAATTTATGAGGATGAATAGTTTAAAATATATTTTCTAGGGGCAAATACTTTTACACCGCTTGAAGCACATATTTTATATTGCCATATTGCTTGGATAAATGCATTTTCATTGAAGGTATACTTATTCTTTGTATATTGTTTCAGAATTGCTTACATTTCTAAATGTTCAAAGATTCAAATGAAAGTTGAAAATTTTACAAAATAATTGAAATAAAATAGATTCTATGGAATACACCCATATTTTCAAGAATCTCAAGACCTGAAACCTTGAAATAATTACACATAAAAGAAGAAAGATGTCTAACTTCTGATGAAACGTTAGCTTAAAAAAATATTAGGATAAACAAGGTACTGCTATAGAAAATAATTGAGACTTCCCCACACTGGAAAGTCAAACTCAAACTTTCTGACTGTTAAGTAAATTCTGGATGGTTATAAACCTGGATAGATACACATTCCCATGTTTGGAAGTCCACATTAAAATTAGCTTAATTCAGATGAGTACACCAACTTCTCAAAAAAACTCCCCCAAATTTTCTAAGACACTTTTTCCTATCGTTCCAAAACTATTTGAAATCTCCCTAACAATGTTAGCTTTCTGGATTTGAAAGTACAAGTACACTGCCAAGATAACAAGGCTGCCGTTAACAGACGCCATAGCCACATGCTGCCCTCTGTGCAGAACCCAAATGACACTACGTGAAAGTGCTTTATCAGACTGTGATGTGCCATACAAATGTGAAGAAGTGCTGTTACTATTCCCACCACTGACACTGGACGCCATGCCACGACCATGAGACAAGGACTCAGTGAGTCAGTCTTTCTCTGAACTGGAAGTCATTCCAATTAAAAGAAAACTTCTGTTTTCATAAATTTTATTCTCCCCTAAACAGTTCATATTAACCTCTGAAAGTTGAATCTGCAACAGATAGACCAGGTAATCCCATAAGAGCTGCTGTTTACTGAATTAAGCTAAGGTGACTATTTGTTTTGCAATGAAGACGCAAACTATAATTCTTGGTAAATATTGTGAACTGGATAATTGGCATGTATTTCTCATTTGTCAAACTTAACTCGATAAGTACCTAGCTATTACCAGTTATTTTATATCATATTTTCAACAACCCGAAGTATATTAAACTAACTTACAAAACAGTAAATATTCACCAAATTATTAGATTATCATTTACAGATTAAACATAGAGTGAAAAAACCAAATATCAACTACATTTCATTACTGTCACTCAAAATATTTCAAGCCATTTGTTAAAAAATGCACTTTCTGACTATTTTACTCTTTCTGAAGCACATCAAAACAAAGCATTCGTGGCACAAAAGGTAATACTGATATGATCAGAAGAATAATTTTAATAGTCATGGCATAAAACATATTGGTTAAAATAAAACATGTATTTTCAACCAAGACAGGCATTAAAGTACTGATTTTTTTTCCTCTCTTTTTGCAGGTAGCAGCTAGGTGATGATGTCTACTTGTGGATTCCACTGACATTGTTAATATAAATAATAACATTCTGGGAAAACACTATTAGAGTCGATTTCTTAACATCCTCAAGCTAGATTAAGAGAAAATAAATTCTACAAAGTAAATATTCCAAGATTCCTGGTTCACATATTGTGCAATATAAATGGTTTATTTTTATAGTATGCTGAAACCCGCAAAGAGCAGTAAAAAGACTATGGACTTTAGTGTAGCGTTGAGCTGGGTTCAAAGCCTACTTTTACCACGATGTAGCTGTGCCACCTTGGCCGAGTTATTGAGCCTTTCTGAATCTTCACACCTTACCCTTTCACACGGGGCTTTTACAGCTTTTTTGCGACAATCAGAAGACATGGTTTATATGAAACAGTATCAAATTCATGCTTTCCATACATTCAGTAAATAAACAGAAAACTCAACAGGCAGTATGTTTATATAAAAAAATGAATACTCACTACTGCTAGGCACTGTGTTTGAAGCATTATGTAGATGTCTTAAACAAGGACATTGTATACAAGTGAGCTGATACTGATACTGCATAAACTCTGAAATATTTATTAGAACTATTCACTACTCTCAAATGTTAAAGGCCTGACAGAACTTGATATTGCACCAACAGCATCCATTAGTAGGAGGATTTTTAAAAACAGGACTCTTTTTTCTACTTTTAAAACTAAGATATATAACAGTGAGACATATGACAAAGCAATACTCTAGCTGTGAGTAAAACAAATTGAATTTTTATAACATTAACAATTTCATCTTTTCCGTGTTTTTATTGTATATCATTTCTAAAACCCAGAAAAAATCCAAAGTATACTTGCAATGTCCAGAACTAATCTATACTTACTGTCATTTCATCTCATTATGAACTCAATCCTGTGGCCTGGCCTGCTGTTATGTGAACAATATAAAACTCTCCATTGATTTAACATCACAATAAAAAGTATATACATATAAATGTTAGGACCAAGAGACTGTTTCCAGGTTTGGAAACAGATTTGTCAACATTGCGGTCTTACCTGGTAAATAGATTGCTGTGCCTTCCACTGACTCTTCATTAATGCCAATCAGGAAATCTGTTTCATTAGAAGTTTCCAGAAGGGAAAATGGTGGTGTTGGAAGCTCAGTATTAAATTCCACAGTGCTTACTGTTGCCTGATTATTGGAATCAAGAATTCTCGCTGCCATTTGCTGTTCTGATGCTGATATTGTGGAATCCCGCTCTCTGATTAAAGCTGCTTGAGTTTTAGGGTTTGTTTCTGGAGAAGAAGAAATGATGGGTCTCTCAGAAGTCTGTGGGCTTGGCCAAGGCACCACACCTGCCTCGACCCCATAAGTAGCAGAAGCAGAAGTAGAATGTGGCCACTGTGTAGCACCTTCTAATTTAATTTCGTTGGCAGTTGTAATAGTTCCAGCCTCAGGTGTTTTAATGCTGGAAAACATCTGGATTGCTTGTCCAGAAACTTGACCATCAGTTTCGTTTTGGAAATCCTGGAGAATCTCAGTTCCTTCTGCATCAATAAGTTCTGTGGGAGAAGCTTCCATTTCTTCTAATAATTTAGGCTTACCATCATCTTCTGAAGGTTCTAATTTTGTGTCAGGAGATAACGATGGAGGCTTAGTTACGTGAAAATATTCCTCACTTGATGGTTTGAAAGTCGCTTCCATATTTACATGAATTTCCTTAAAAGAATTCTCTGGAGACGTTACAGATGAGCTGACATCTATTGCTGGCAGCGCACTGGGCTGGGGGACCTCTGTGTGTCCAGAGGCTTCACTGCCTGAGTCAATAGTGAGTGGAGATGACAGTGTGTGAGAAGACAGCTTTGCAAATGTTGAAACTGCTGAGGTTGTATCAGTGTAATACGGGAGATTGGATCCTTCCATCACATTAGGCACCTCTGTTAAACTCTGATCCAAAAGATGCGTAGTAGCAATACTTACATAGGGAGTATGATCTACCAATGCCTCCTCGGCTCCTGAAGAGAATTCGGGCTGAAAAGACGGACCCACATGTTTCTTTTCTTCATACTCCTCCTGGGTCCTTTCAAATTGGCCCAATGTTGATATTATTTCGCTTTGGTCTGCAATAGCTTGACCATCAGACAAAGTGCTTGATTCAAACATGTCATCCAGCACTTTTGCTTCGGCTTTTATTTCTTCAGTCTCTGGAATCACTGTGGCAGACTCACTAGGAATTGGCAGGGATGTTGGTGTGGGAAGTAAAATGTCTAATTCTGTTTCTGTGCTAGGAGCAGGGATCCCAGTTGTGAAGTTAAAGCCCATATGATCTATTTGGCTTCTATCTTCATAAGTCACAGATTCATTGTGTGTTGCCTGAGTGTAGCTAGCCAGAAGAACATCACCAGAGCCCTCAAATGTTTCCTCAGTTAAAGAAAGATTGGCAGCTGCCTCATACGTCTCTTGAGCTTGAGTGCTGTCATCATTACTTCCATCATTACTGTCATGTGATTCGGATGGTACCTCTGGATCTATGTCTGTTTGCATTCCGAGAATGTCTTCATATACAGGTTTGGTATGATCAATATCTATGATAGTATTTTTATCTGATGTCAGCTCAGGTAGAATTTCAAGGATGGTACTCTCTGTAATTGTCAGTATTAAATCCTTGTCCTCTTTGTCCAGGTCTATAATAATATTTTCAGTAGGTTTTATTCTGTTAGGTTTTAAGGTGGAATCCTCCAATTCCCTGAAATGGTCTTGGAAACTACCTGCAACACCATTTGTGGACCTCTCATATGACACTGTATTTAACGGTGCACTAGTTGGAACAGGGGGGCTTTTGTTCTGCTCTGAATGAAGAGGCAGCGTCACTGAAACTGTTGGGAATCCATCATCAGTAACAGCTTTAGCACTTGGCACCTCAGGATGTTTTTCCAGGGACCCATCAGAAACAAATGTGGTGCTGCTTTCTTGTCTGGTTGCCCGAGTAGTTGCAGAAATATGAACTGAATCAGCAATATCCACTTCTCCAGATCCTTCTCCAGAATGTTCATGAAACAAGTCAGATGGTTTTGGTGCTGATGTAACAAATTCTTTGTCCATTTCAGAACCATAAGCTCTAGCCAGAAAATCAGTGGACAAGGTTGTTGTTTTATTAGTTTCTGCTGTTGAAGAATTCCTGTTAGAGTCTTGTTCAGTTATGATTTGTGGTCTACTAGTCTGGATTTCTTCTGCCCATCTGAGAGTCTGATTTTGAGGATGTTCGATGTCCATGGAGAAAGGGAGAGGTGCCACTGTGGGTCCTTCTGCTCTAGTGTCACTTAAAATTTCTATTAAGGTTGTACTGGCTACTGACTCACTACCTTCAGAGATGTCTGTTTGGGACTCGAGTGGTCCAACTTCACTTGCCACATTTTCCATTCTTTTAGACTCTTCAGTTTTGTCACTTGAGGCACTTGTTTGTAAACTTTCCACTTGAGGAGAGTGCGGATATAATGTGTTATTGATTTGTTCCATTTCAGTAAAATTCACTGACTCTGTTTGTAGAGTAGGTAAAACTTCTTCACCTGATCCCAGTCCAGAGAATAAGAGCTCAGTATCTGACTCTTGAATTGTTGGTCTCATACCTTTGGGAAAAAGTTTTATACTTTCTTCCTCTTTAATTGGTGAATCTGTGACTACATGTTCAGCTGGTACAGATTCAGTCACTAAGGCAGTAGCTAAGAAAAAATGTGACTTTTCAGTAGCTTCAGGAAGAGTTGTATAAGATTCCAAGCCCTTTGCATCTGGATCTGGAGTAGACACATTAGCTAAGGAAATGTCTTCCTCCTCCATTTCTTTATCAGCACTGTAAGTTTTCTTTGTTGTTAATACAGAATAATCTGTGGTTTTGAGTTCTGTTTCAGTAAATGTTTGTGAATCAAAGATTGTTTGTTCTGGTGCAGGAGAGTGTTGTGGGGATTCAAAAGACTTTTCTTCTTGAATTTGTTCCTCTGATGCTGTTTCACTTTCAATTTCTTGTCTTACAGGGTTGACTTCTTGCCTTGACCATAATTTGGCTGGCTCCATAGTTTGGGGAAAGTTTGTTGAAATTGTGGCACTGACCTTTACTTCCTCCTTTTCTACTGGTGTTTTAGTACCTTCCACTTCTGCTGTTGGTAAAATGGTGGATCTTCTATCAGTTTCATTGACAGTACCCACTTCTCCCAAACCTTCATCAATAATGGAGGAAGCCGTACCAGAAAAATTTCCCACAGCACTGGGAAACACTGGATCAACAGAGCTGCTGACTGTGACCAGTTGCTCACCTGAGCCCTCAGCTGAGGATGTGAACTCTTCCCAAGGGAAGGCTGAAGTGCTGACCATGGTGCTACTGGGTCCTTCTGAGTCAGGTATGTGATTGATGCGAACTGAAGTAGGTATTGTAGATGGTGATGTCTTGATATCCCTAAAAGCTGCATCTCCAGAGCCTTCCATCATTTCTTCTTTCGCTGTGGGATGAGGCACTGTTGAGTATGCTCTAAAGTCACCACTGAAATCTTCCTCCAAAGGAAAACCAGTGGGAAAGCCCCTTATTTCTGCCCTATGATTAGGTTCTCCTAATCTCTCTGAAATCAACATTTCCCTGGGTGTTTGGCTTATATTTTCAGCACCTTCTCTGTCCATTACTGTACTCAAAACCAGTCCTGTTGGCTCAGTGGAGAACGTAGTTCCCACATGTGGAGACAAAGTACCAGCAGCTTCCTTTTGGGCTTGAATTTCATACTCTAAATGTAATGAAAATGAAGAAACAGTGGTGGTTTCTGGGTGAGCAGCAGCTTCTCCAGAGCCCTGCTCCATAAAGAGAGAGGCAGGACTACCTGGGAAAGTAGCTAGACCTTCCTGAACCCCAGGTTGATGAATACTGCTGTGCTCAGTGGTTTGTGCCCCCAAATTTTCTAATGTATTTGTTTCTGGAAAGACAAGAGTAGAATCTGTCATTTCCCTTTCAGACTGTGCTGGTGTTGTAAAGGACATAAAACTTTTCCTGGCATCTGAATCACTAGATGTATCTACATATGAACTTTCTAATTCAGAGGGTAAAATTATTTGATCCGATCTCCGTGTAGGTGAATATGCCTCAATTGTAGAAGCTGTACCTGCAGTTCCCTCATCCTCCTTCCTTTTCTTTTCTTCAGCAGAGGTACTGGAAATCCACTTAGAAGTATCTGTTTCACTTACAAACTTGGTAGGCACCACTTCTGCAAACAGTTGTTCAGAAACTGAATAAATGGTGGTTGCAGGAACCTCAAAAAAGCTCTCTGTGGTTATCCTGCTAGTGTCTAAAGTAATGTGCGTACCAGTAATATTTCTCTGCGATAAATCAGTTACCATGGTGGACATTGTATCTTCATATTCTTCTGCTTCTCCAGAGCCTTCTGGAATTGGAATTGAAGAACTCCCTGAGAACTCTACAACTTGTCTAGGAGTTGCTTCTACCCAGCTTTCCTTGGTAGATAACAGGTCATCTGGCCAAGGATTTCCTATTAGGGTAACTGCTTCTTCCTTTGAAACATACACTGATGCAGAGCTAGGAATGATAGGAATGTATGTGATAGAAGTACTTTTTTCTACCTCTTCACCAGATGTTACTTCCTTAGGCCTGGCAAAGACTATTTTCTGAGATTCTTGGTCAATGGCAACCTCTCCTGAAGACTCTTCAGGAAACAGAGTTACAGGCTCGATATGTTCATGTGCCTGATGACCAACTTCAGTATTTCTCTCTGTGTCCGATTCTGCCCCCTCTATGGCTGTTTCACTTTCAAATTCCTCATGGAATGAGACTGTGGGGAAAACATCAGGCTCACCACCTGAAAAATGTTCTGATGTTTCAGGGTAAGTCTCAGGCTTCCATGTAATTTCAAGAGATTCAGTTGTTTCTGCAGATTCATTAGGTTGCATGGCAGTAGACAATTCCGTTTCAGCTATTACAAATAGATGAGTCTCACTTTCAGAGCTGTCTGAGAAATTCTGAGAAGGTGCAACACTTTCAAACTGGCCACGTCTAGCT